CTTGCCCACAAAGTAAGTGAAAGAGCCAGAATTTAAACCCACTTCCTCTGACCCCAAACCTGTGGCTGCCGATTTAAGAGAACTGCACCCCCGCACGGGCCTTAATCCTTCAACTTAACTGTGTCTTCAGTTTATTTGCATCCTATGATATTTGTCATCCCCCCCTGCCACTATTTTCCATAGTGATCAGTTTCATTTTCAGATACCAGTGACTCTCTTGACCCATATGGGAGATTTATCTGGATCAGATTAATACTGCCAGTAAGGAATAAAAATGGGGCAGCTAGATAGCTCAGTGGATAAAGCACTGGGCCTGGAGTCAGGAATATCTGAGTTCAGATGTGGCCTCAGATACTCACCAGCTATGTGACCCTAGGCAAGTCACTTAACCTATTTAACTCAGTTTCCTCATTTGTAAAATGATCTGGAGAAGGAAACAGCAAACCCCTCCAGAATCTTTGCCAAGAAAAGCCCAAATGGGGTCATGAAGAGTCAGACATGACTGAAATGACTAAAGAAAACAACAAAGGAATAAAATTGCCCAATGTCTTTTCAGAAGCCACATCCAGTGGACTGGAGGCCTTTTGTAGGAGGGAGGCAGGGACAGCTAAGCACCCTACCCCCACTCTCCTTTCTCAGTAGGCAAAGCTCTTCAGTCCCTCAGCCCCACCCCACCCTAGCCTTCCTTGCCTTGGATTCCAACTGCTTCCTTGTCCCTCCTTCCCTCATATTCCCCAGCATTATCAAACCTACAGGGAAATATGGGGGCATAGAAGTTTCTAAGTACCCTGACATTAAGCTAGATAATTATTATTGTAATCACGTTAATATGTTTATAATAAAACAGTATTGTCATCTCTAACATTGCTATCTATCTTAATATAAATCATTATTATATCAATCACATATTATATTATTATGAATCATAATATAGTATATAATTATAACATTGTTATATCATGTCCATCATATTATTATAATCGTATTAACATGACTGTTGTGGTTCAGTCATGTCTGACTCTTCGTAAGCCCATGGACCATAGCATGCCAATACTTTTTATATGGTTTTCTTAGCAAAGATACTGGAGTAGTTTGCCATTTCTTTCTCCAGTGGATGAAGACAAGCAGGGTTAAGTGACTTGCCCAGGGTCACACAGCTAGTAAGTGTCTGAGGCTGGATTTGAACCCAGATCTTTCTGACTCCAGGCCCAGCACTCTATCCATTAGCTACCTAACATTAAGAATGTAATAATATTGACCCTATTTGTGGTTACTAATTAATCATAATAATATGAAATGGTATTACATAATAGAAGCAGTGTAGTATAAATAAGCAGGCCTTCCTCAGTCCACTTCTAACAATTACTGGCTGTGTGACCCTGGGCAAGTCCCTTAACCTTTAGGTGCCGCCATGCAAGTCTCCAAGAAAAAGAAAATTGAGGTGGCAGTCTGCTTTGGTGGATGGGGTTCCCACAGTGGGAGTTCCCCCACAAGGATGAAACTTACAGTAATAATACATCACATTGATGTAGTAGTTTAAAGTTTAAAAGTGCCTGCTAAGTGTTTTAGGGTACCTTAAGGTCTAAAAGCAAGGCTGACCTTCAGAGCCGATGTAGAAATCTTAAAGTTTTTGTTTCACAAACTCAGCTCCTTCCTCTACCTTTCCATTCTCCCTCTCTACGCCCCCATGACTTTAATTTCCTGGTGTAAAAAATAGCTATCCCCAGAAGGCTCCCCGTCTCTCCTAGCTGAAGACTTCTGTTCACAGAGGGCTGCTAGGAGATCTCCCCACTGACAATGATAGCTCTTCTCAGGTGAAAAGGACCAGTGAAGTGAGAAGGAAGCGTGATCTTGCTGTGAGAGAGACGGGTTTGACACTTTTCATCTGTGTGAGCCTGTGCAAGGGATCTGACTGTGTACCTTGGTCTCCTCATCTGCAAAATGGGGGTTTTAGCAAGAGCTGCTGTGAGGATTCGATAAAATCGTCTCTATTTAGTGTTTCACAAACCTCCAAACGCTTATAAATGTGAGCAATTTTTACTGAACATTTGAAGGACCGGGAGAGGAAGGGATAGGACTTGTCTTGCTTGGTTGGAAGCTGCTGTGAGCAGTAGAAACCAAGGGGCGAAGTTCAGCTCAGTGGAAGGAAGAGCTTCAAATGAGGGGGAGTCGCCTCAAAGTGGACTTCACTGTGTTGGGAAACGGGGAGCTCCCCTTCACTCACAAAGATTCAGTGGCTACTTCTGGGTGTGTGAAAGAAGGCTGCACTAGATGGTCCTTTCCGAGGACCTTAAGAACTCGAGATGGCGGTGGATAGAGCTCTAAGCCTGGAGTCAGGAAGACCTAGGTTTGAATCCAGCCTCAAACATTTGCTAGCTGTGTGATGCTGGGCAAGTCACTTCACCTCTATTTGCCTCAGTTTCCTCATCTGCAGAATGGAAATAGCAATAGTACCTCCCTCTCAGGGAGAGTGTTGTGAGGATCAGATGAGATCGTTTGTAAAGCACTATACAAATGCTAGTCATTTTTATTATTCCAATGCCACGGTCCTTAGATTCCATGATATTCTGTGCTAAACCATTTTAGAAACTCACTAGACTTACGCCTAGAGGCCAAATTCTCACGTCAAACAAACGAGACTTTAGGTTGAGCCTAAGTGAGAAAGGAAAGGGACCTTGTAATCTCAGCACCTGCATTCTAATCCTGCTTCTGCCCTAAGTCATCTCCCTAGGCCTCAGTTTCCCTATCTGTAAAAGGAAGGGGGTTGGAACTGATCTCCAAGGCCTCTCGTAGCTCTCATTCTAGGATCCTATGATGAAGTGAGATTTTTATCGTTGGGTTACTCTTCTTACCTGGGGATGAGTAACAATAGCTAATATAATAGCTACATTAATAGTAAAACACTATGTGCTAAGTACTTTACAGTTATTATCTCACTTGATCCATCCTCATGACAACCCTGGGAGGTAGGCACTATTATTATCATCCCCATTTGACAGATGAGGAAACTGAGGTTAAGTGGCTTGCCCAGGGTCACAAAGCTAATAAACGTCTGAGGCTGAATTCAAACCCAGGTCTTCCTGATTCCAGGCCTAGTGCTCTAACCACTGTACCATCTAGCTACCCTATGGTGATAGGGGGAATATAATATCCTATGATGATAATAAAACATCCTTACTAGATCAAAGCTATACCTGAGAAAGTTTACTTGGAAAAAGAAACCCTACAGTTTTTCATATTTGAATCTAACTACATGGTGGTTGGAAGTGGGAGTGGAAATCCACCACAAATCTAATCAGATTAGAACTCGTCTATGTTGACATCTTTTCAAAGCCCAAACAGAATTCTACATGCTAATTCAAATCCGAAATTAACCTTTGTCTCCTATTTCAGATCGTCTTCATTAAGCTATCCCAGGAGGGTAGGAGGGGGAGCTGCGTACTGTATAGAGCCCAGAATTGACATCGGGAAGGTCTGAGTTCGAATGCTGCCTTAGGATACTCCTTACCAATTTGATTCGGGGCAGGTCGATTCAACTTTCTGAGCTTCCTCTTCCTCGTCCGTAAAACGAGGTTAGCAATAGCACTGACCTCACAGGATTTTTTGTGAGGATCGAACAAGGAACCTATGAAAAAGCCCTTTGCAGACCTAGAAATACTAGATTGCCTTTCCTCAATCAACAGGAAACACACTGAAGCCCCTGGCCCCGGAGAAGTCAGACACTTTGGGGAGAACTCTTTCTCAGTACAAGGAAATCACTGAGCTTATAAAACGCCTTAAGATTTATTGGAGGAAGCCAGCATCTCAAACCGTATTAATAGAAGTGGGCCGCACCTGTCTCTTTTTTGTGTGTGTGTGCTTAAAATTGCCCTGAAAGGAAATTTTGCTTCCATTTCTCTATGTCTTCCCCAACTGTCTCCTTAAACGGGGAAGACCCCCCCTTGTACCCTCACACTACACCATCACGGGTAGCTGTTTCACTTGAGTCACCTCCTCCTATGGCCAAGCCTCATTCAAAAGTTCCTTCTAAGAAACCTTTCCCAGATCAGCTCTGGTGCCTAAAGAGAAGTGCAGGTAAGATTTGCAGAAGTGGTGACTGGCCGTTTTGTGGTCAGTAGTTCACTTCTCCTTTGGGGACGTCACTCTCCCTTGCCCTGGGTCTTCCAGACACGTCAGTCAATTCACTCGGAGAGTCTCCTGTTTAGCGATCTTTCCTTCTGTCTTGTGGAGCACTTTGTACCCTTTTTTCTCTGCCTCCCCAATAAATGCTGAGTAATGAGGTCAACAGGAAAACAAAGATAGCTATGAAAGTATCCAGTATTTTAGAGACACTCTTTCTACCTGGCGATAAATTAAATTGAATTTGGAGACCCGTATGTTCGGAAAATCACAGATGGGCGCACACCTCCACCCCCAACACACGCCCTCTTTTTCACCAGCCAAAATCCAGCCTTTCTGCTATTCTTAACGCAAGGAATCACCAAAACTGGATCACATTTGCTAAGCTCAGCTCTGAGATGCCGGCAAAAGGAGGGGAGTGGTGGAGGTTTGTCTAACTGTCTATCAAAGGACCCTGGGTGAACTTGAGGTTGCAGGGTTCAAAGCCAGCTTAACCTGGCTGGGCAATGGGAGAAACTTCTTGCTCCACCCATGAGGCACAGCTACACTCTCCCGGCTCCTTCTATCGTGCCATCCCCCCATGACTTTAATTTCCTGGTGTAAAAAACAGCTGTCCCCAGAAGGCTCCTTGTCTCTCCTAGCTGAATATTTCTGCTCGGCAGAGGGCTGCTGGGAGATCTCTCTGCTGACAATGAAATTCGCTAGAAATAATCAACAAAAGACAAAGATCTCCCCCTGCCAAAGCTCCAGTCCCCCCTTTTGGGGGTAGCTTTTTCCTGCTCAGGGGCCTAGCTAGGAAGCATCATTCTTCCCCCTGGCATCCTCGGAAGCTTGGGGTGGGGGTTGGGGAAGGTGGTCGGTGCAGTAGGAAATGGTGGTACCTGTGATGAAAGGGGGCAGCATCCCTTCTCAAGAGCTGCTTGACTGACTTGCCTTATCCCAGGCTGTGCTTCCTAGGCCCAGGCTCTGGCTGCTGTCCCTCCTGCAGCATCATCATCTCTCCGGCTCAAGGAGCCTGCGTGGTGGCTGGGGAGGCTGCCGATGACATCACTGCTCCGGTCCTCCTGCCTCTCGGCCCAGGGGAGCTTCTGCAGAAGCATCAGCAGGTCTGGGCCCGGTTCCTTAAAGGGGCAACTGCAAGATGGGAGATGGTGAACCTGGCTGTGTTGGGGCTAGCCACAAAAACCCAGCGACAGCAGCAATAACAATACCGATGCTGTTGAGGAGAAAGCTGTAATTGTGTGCGTTCCAGAGGCTGGCATCCAGAACTCACAGCTTACTGGGGGCAAGGCATTTAAGCAATGAACACCTGAGTAACACTAGCCTGAACATGGGTTTGGGGAGCATGAGATGGATCACGAAAGATGTGGAATTGGATCCTAACAAAAACCTGTACAATATTAATGAAAAACAGTGTTGCTCACCCTAGGGTGACTATGCTAGGGTTAATATTCCTGATTCCAAGAGGAATGTGAAGATTAATAATACAGGTCAAGGGTTCTGAACCTGAGGTGTTTTTAAAAGAGAGACAGAGACAGAAACAGAGAGAGACAGAGACAGAGAGAGACAGGGACACAGAGAGAGATAGGGACAGAAACAGACAGAGAGACAGGGAGAGGCATAGAGAGAGAGAGAGAGAGAGAGAGAGAGAGAGAGAGAGAGAGAGAGAGAGGCAGAGAGCCAGAGACACAGAGAGACAGAGGCAGAGAGAGACACACACACACACACACACACAGAGACAGAGACAGAGGCAGAGAGACAGAGAGAGACAGAGACAGAGAGACACACACAGAGACAGACAGACAGAGGCAGAGAGAGAGACAGAGAGACAGAGAGAGATATGGATGGAGAGATGATAGAGGGATGGATGGTTGGATAGATAGGTCAATAGATGGATAGATATAGATTATATATATATGGAGACATAAATAGATAGATAACGATAACTAGTTTAATATAGTTCAATACATGTAATCCTATGTATTTTATACTTTTAAAAGCATTTTGCTGAGAAGGGGCCCAGAGGCATTACCAGAGTGCCCAAGGTTCTAGGATACACTACAAAGATAAAGAACTCTGCTATGAATATTTTCAGAGCACACAGCAGGTTAAAAATGAATGAAGGAATTAATGAATGATTAGGCATTTATTAAGTGCTCACTACGTGCCTAAGTGCTTACAGAAATATTTCTGGAACAAACACACATTAATTCCCAGAGAAATAACAGAAGCTGCCAATACAGAGCTGCTAGTGGATTTGTGGAGTTTGACCAAAAGCGGTTTTGCTCTGGCCGGAGCCTGTGAAATGGTGAAGGTCAAAGCATGCGGGAATGGGATGAGAGATCTTCATGTGATTGCAAGAAATCTAACACAATGAAACTGCCACTGGATTCAAAGGAAGCTAGAAAACTCATTAGTGTTAATATAATGAGCAACAGAGTGGTTATGTCAAGGGAGAAGGTGATTGAAAGAGTAACTTCTCTACAAATCGGAAAGTGGAAGGTGGGACAATATCCATGATGATTGTCTGAAAAGCTTCGAGCTGGTGCATGAATTACTAGCAACATGTTTTTCCAGTTTCTTTTTTTTTTAAATTTAATTCTATAGCTAAGTCCTGAGTAGTGCAAATAATGAATTCCATGAAGCGGCGGTACTATTCGGTTATAATTATATGTAAAATATGGCAATTTGTTCCAGGCCAATGGAAATACACAATGAAAACTTAAAATAATCTATCTTTATTCATTTAACAGAATAGCAAAGGACATGAAAAATGCATTTCTGGTTAATTTATTACAAAGTAATTACAAAATACATCTGCTATTAAAACAGATGTAAAGAAAATATTAAAAATATTTGAAAGCACTTTATTTTAAAGTAAAATTTAAAATTTAAAATAAAAATAATGAATATCATATTTAAAGATGAGCCTACACTGATGATACAATTAAAATGCTGTTATTGTCTTCAAAATATTTTAGCAGCATAGATCCTTTCATAAAAGGATTTGTTCCATAAAACTTGGACTCAGTCAAAAGGCCCCACTTGAGGACCTAGACGGCCACATATGGCCTTGAGGCCAAAGGTTCCCCACCCCTGCAGTGTTTTCTCTTTTTAACAATCTTTATACACACACATCTTGGGAAATTTACATGCTTACATTCTTACACAATGAACCAAGTATAGTTGGATGACCTGGGGGCATTATCTTAAATCAGCAATGCTTTAAATGCAATATTGTTGTCCCTATAATATTTTTTAACAGCGGGGCAAACCGGTCTTTGAAAACAGCTTTAGTCATCCGTGCTTTTTTATTTTTTGACTCTCAAAGACCTGGAAAGCATCTCGATGGGGGCAGCAGCCCAAGAATTTAGAGGCCAATAAACAAACAGTGGTTTTACTTTTAAATCATCTTTTGCATTACCTCCCAATAAAAGTGTTAGGCAATCCTTGGACTCTTTAAATCCAGATGGAATTTTTTTCTTTCTTACAAGTGTAAGTTCTACAAGGCATTCTTTTCCAGAGTAAGCCTGTTTCACCTACATTAAGAGTTTGTTAATCAATGTATCTACCTTCCTTGATTATTTTCTACAAAACATCAGACTATTGAGCTGTCTAATTTATTGTTGTCAAATTGTTTCAGTCACATCTGACTCTCCATGACCCCAATTTGGGATTTTCTCAGCAAAGATACTGGAGTGCTCTGCCATTTCCTTCTCCAGTTCATTTTACAGATGAGGAAACTGAGGCAAACAGGGTTAAATGAGCTGCTCAGGGTCACTCAGCTGGTAAGTGTCTGAGGCTGGATTTGAACTCAAGCCCTTCTAACTTCATGGCTGGAGTTCTGTCCACCACGCCACCTAAATGCCCTAGCTAATACTAAAAACTAACATTTACATCATGCTTACCATGTGTTTAAAAATGAATATTAAAAAATGTTTTTACATGTAATGGAGGAAAAAATAAGCTATTGAAATTTTAAAAAAGAAATACTGTGAGCCAAATGTTGTGCTAAGCACTTTATAATTATTACCTAATTTGATTCTCTCAACAACCCTGGGAGGTAGGGGTTATTATTATCTCCATCTTATAGTTGAGGAAACTGAGTCATTTAAGTGACTTGACTAAGGTCAGCCAGGTAGGAGGAAGTGTCTGAAGCCGGTCTTCCTGGCTCCAGTCTGGTGCTCTATCCACCCTGTCACCGAGCTGCCTTGTATGTCCTTATATGTCCTGGCTGGCCTTTCTGGTAATTTTAAAGTTATGTAATGGAACCTGATTTTTAAAACAAGCAATCTGGCCAATGCGCACATTAAAAGTTTCTTCACTGCCCACTTCATTTCCATTTCTTTCACTGCCTTAAATAAACTTGAAGCTTTTGTGGGAATGGCTGCTCTGCCGAGAGGTAGGCGCTTCTTATTGCAATCCTCAATCTGAGCAGCTCTGTTTCTATTTTTGTAACACCTTCCATTCCTTGTGATTGTTTGCAAACCACAGAAAACGGATACAACTTTGCCCTTTTCTTTTACCTGGACGTTTTATAACATTCTGTACTCTAGATTCCAGTGTTCTTACATCGTAGTCCTATTGTAGCAGTTCTACGACTGTATTAGTGGATTCAATTCCATCAGAGTTTTGGCTAATCTGCATTATTAATGGTTTTGCCGTCACTTTCTTAGAGCTAGACATCTAACAAAACAATAAATGAAACCTCGATTTGTAACATTTGCCAACTTCTGAGGTGTGAATGTTCACACTGGAATTTTAACTATCAGATCTTGTGAGGCATGAGCTGGCTCCAGCACAGCTCTGGCTATTCCCCCGTTGATGGGCTTCTACTTTATTTCCAATTCTTTCTTCTTCAAATAAAAAAAAGCTACTGCAAAATTTTCTTCTATATGAGTCCTTTTCTATCTCATCTTTCCTAATGTCAATTGTCATGCATTTATCCTGCTGTGGAGTGCTTAGCATCGAAGACACCAAGACCATCCGTTGCATCCCAGACCATCTCCAGTCTTGATTTTTGTCCCGCCATTGGACTTTGATGACTCCGGAGAGTGAGGCCGACAACTTTGTGCAACTCTGTCTCACCTACGAGTCACAACATCACCCCATGATGTCACTGGTCCTCTTCAAAAACAAAGGACAAAAAGCCCCTATTTATTACCCAAAGACACCACACAACACCACAAAGAAGCCAATTACATTTTGTGTGCTGTATATAAAATACTCACAGCTTGTATTGCTCGCTCTCTACACACACACAACACATACACACACACACACACACACAATGCAAGAAAATTATATATTGTCTAAGACACAAACAGGTTATAAGAGTTGGGTGGTAGTAAGGACCAGGTCATTATTGACTCAGTGATAATTTAATAAGTCACTAAAAAGGACCAGAACATTTACACTCTCTTAATTCATTACCCCAAAGCTTTTGACTCAATTCTTCACTCATGTCTTAGTCACACACTGCAAATCTATACGAGAGATCTAAGCATAGTGAGGATGTTTAAATAGTTGGTGTTCACATAGAAAACTGTTCTTTATTTAAAACGTGCCATCAATACAATAAGGCAGCTAGATATCTGGGCCTGGAGTTAAGAAGAACTGAGTTCAAATCCAGCTTCAGAACTTACTGGCTGTGTGACCTTGGGAAAGTCACTTAACCTTTGTTTGCCTCAGTTTCCTCCAGACTTTATAAATGAATGAATGACAAATCCCCTGACTACAAATACAAACCCCCAGATACCCTTGAGAATTCAGTATAAGCTGTATTGGAACCAGAGCACCATTGTAGACAGAACTACTGGACACAATTATCCAGCTGTGGCATTGGTCCATTATATTTTAATTTAAAAAAAATAAAAAAGTGTTTATTTTCTTTTTCTTTTCTCTGCAAAAGAAAAAGAAAACTCTTATAATAAATATGTATAGTCTGGCAAAGCAAAGTTCTACATTGACCACATCAAAAAATATATAGCTGTATCTAACTTTAGATAGATAGGTATAGATAAAAATATATATACATATATGGGCAACCAGGTGGATAGAGTGCTGGGCCTAGAGTCAGGAAGACTCATCTTCTGAGTCCAAATCTGGCCTTAGATACTTATTGGCTGTGTGACCCTGGACAAGTCATAACCCTGTCTATCTCAGTTCCTTATCTGTAAAATGAGCTGGAGAAGGAAATGGCAAACCAATCCAGAAACTTTGCCAAGAAAACCCCAAATGGGGTCATGAAGAGTTGGACGTGACTGAAAAAGACTGAAGAACAAATCTCTCTCTCTCCACATCTCTCTCTCTCTCTCTCTCTCTCTCTCTCTCTCTCTCTATATATATATATATATATATATTATATATATATATATATATATATATAATATATATATATATATATATATCATATATTATATATATATATAATCTTTATATATATAAATATATATACCTCTCCATATACATACACACACATACACACACAAATGTGTGTGTATGTGTGTGTTTGTGTGTGTGTGTGTATATGTGTATATATACATATATACATAAGAACAACATTTTTAATAGATATCTCCAAACCAAGTACTCATTTGATGGAGGAACTGTCCAATGAAGGTGCAGTCCTTGGAAGAGAAACAGATTACATACTTTTCATAACCATGGGTAGGAAATGTATTCTTAACCAAGCAAGGGATAGAGGGAATTGAAAAAAATAAAATAGATGACTTTGATTACAGGAAATTGAAAATTTTCTGTGCAAACAAAATTAATGTATACAATAAGAGAAGGAGTTGAATGGGGAAAAATCTTTGTATCAAATTTCTCTTATAAGAGCTTGGCATCCAAGCTAATAAACAATTAGCATATAATATATATACATACATATGTATATGTTAACATACACACACACAAGAGCTATTCCTCAATATATAAGTGGTCAAAAGCTATGAACAAACAGTTCTCAAAAGAAGAATCATGAATGATTGCCTATGAAAGAATGTTCTAAATCACTAATAATAAGAGAAATGTCAAAAGAAATAGCCCTGAGGTTTTACCTCACACCCTGAAAATTGGCAAAATTGTCAAAAGATGGGAATAATTAGTGTTGGAAAGGATTATGGGAAGATAGGCACCCTAAGGGCATTGTGAGTAGAGTAAATCAGTAAATCAGTACAACCATTTTGGAAAGCAATTTGGATTTATGCAAACAAAATGACTAAAATGTCTATACCCTTTGACCTAGAGATTTCAGTTTTAGTCTTATATCCCATAAGGATATGATTGACAGGCCATTGATAAGGAGGCCATTGGTGAGAAGAGAGTTTCCATATGTGCCAAAACGTTTATATTGGCGCTTTTTGTGCTAGCAAAGAATTGGAAAGAAAGCACATGCCCGTAGACTAGAGAATGGCTAAACAAATTATGGCACATGAATGTAATGGAATCTGACTGTGCTGTAACAAAAGATGTGTGATAAATATAGAGAAGGATAGAAAGATCTATGCGGGCGAATGCTGAGTGAAGTAAATAGAGCCAAGAAAACGATCTACACAATGACAACATCAGTGGAAAGAATAGCCACAAAAAGACCAAGAGTGAATGTTAGAAAATCACCAAGAACAAATATGGCCCCAAAGAAGAGGTAGGAGAGGACACCCCTGCCCTTTGCAGAGGTAGGAGGTGCACAGCTGTGGTATGTTCCACATATTTTCACATTTTCTTGATTTATTGATCAGCTATAATGATTTTTCCCTATTTTTAAAAAATTGTGTTATTTGTTCTATGGGAAGGCTGTTTGGGAGAGGAGGGAGGAGGGATACTGAGGGAAATTGATTGCATCTTTTAGATCTCAACTATGCCCCCCTTTTCTTCTCTCATCATCTCACACCAGGACTAGTGCAATAGCCTACTGGTTGGTTTGCCTGCTTCAGGGCTCTCACTCCACTCAACTCCACTGTCCATTCAGCAGTCAAAGTGATTTTCCTAAAGCTCAGGTCAGGTCATTTCACTCTCTTATTAAGAAAAAAACTCCAGTGACTCCCTATTACCTCCAGTCTCCTTTTAGAGAGATGCAACAAAGTGTGGATCAATTCTCTGCTGCTTGTGCTAATTTTTGCCTAACAATTAACACCAAGAAAACACAGGTGCTCCATCAGCCACCACCACACCATCCATACATGGAACCATTGGTTACAGCAAATGGAGAAGTTTTGAATGCTGTGAATAAGTTCACTTACTGTGGCAGTGTACTTTCCAGGGACGTACACATTGATAATGAGGTTGACGCACCCATTGCCAGTGCTAGCTCAGTGGTTGGGAGACTCTGAAGGAAGGTATGGGAGAGAAGAGGTATTGGACCGACTACCAAACTGAAGGTCTACAGAGCTGTTGTGCCACCCTCATTGCTGTATGCCTGTGAAACCTGTACAGTCTACTGGCACCATGCTAGGAAAATGAATCACTTCCATTCGAATTGTCTTAGGAAGATTCTGAAGATCACCTGGCTGGATTAGATACCAGACACTGAGGTCCTTTCTTGAACTAAGCTGCTAAGCGTTCAAACTCTACTTCAGAGAGCACAACTCTCTGGGCTGGCCACGTTGTTCAAATGCAAAACTTATGCTTGCCAAAAAGACTATTTGATGGAGAACTCACATAGGGCAAGCATTCACATGGTGGTCAGAAGAAGTGACGCAAGGATACTCTCAAGGTCTCTTAAGAACTTTGGAATTGATCATGTGACATGGGAGACACTGGTATGGGACCACCCAGCATGGTGTGCCCACCTCAGAGAGGGTGCTGGGCTGTATGAGCAAAGCAGAATTGAAGTAGCTCAAAGGAAATGCAAGACGGCCAAATTTAGAGAATCCACCACACATGTCCACATGGACTGGTTGTGCCCAACGTGTGGTAGAGCATCCCAAGCTCGTATCAGTCTGATCATCCGTAGTCAGACACACCATAACTTGAGTCTAGTGCAGTGATGTCATTTTGGTCCTCTTTGAGAAGAAAGGACAACAGCCAACCTTTCCAGTGTTCTTACACCTTGTTCCCTGACTCCTGCCTGGCCTCCTCCTAGAAACAAAACACACACACTCTCTCTCAGCTCTGGGCATTCCTTCTGACTGTCCCCTCCCCACCCCACCCCCCATGCCTGGAATACTTTCCCTCCTTTGCTCTACCTCCTGACCTCCCTGGCTTCCTTTAAGTCCCAACTAAAATCCCGTCTTTTACTGGAAGCCTTCCTCAACCTCTCTTAGTTCCAATGCCCTCCTTCAGTTAATTATTTCCTATTTATCCTGTGTATAGCTAGCTTTGTATATATTTATTTGCCTGTTGTTTCCTTCATTGGGTTGTGAGCTCCTTGAGGGCAGGGACTGTCTTTTGCCTCTCTTTGTATCCCCAGTGCTTAGCACAGTGCCCTGGCACATAGTTGGAACAAAACACATGTTGATTGATTGATTGAAATTATGACCCAATTAACATCAATAACAATTCATTTTTACCAAACACAATACATCAAGACAAACAGTTAAAAGTATATTCAGTACAATCACCCCAAGCTAACTTCTTCCACGACTCCCCAGTACTATCTTAGAGCCAAAAGAGTGTAGGACTTGCCTGCCTGTTTATATGGTGTATAAAGGTGACCTACCTCTACCTCTGGATTGGAATTGCTGTTTATCTTATGAGTTGCTGGGGTATCTAGAATTGGCCACTTCCTCTTGGTGTAGATGGGATGACATCTGCCCGAGGTCAAAAAGAATGTGTCCACGTTGAGTCCCAAGCTAGACATGGAGACAAAACTCACATATAAATTGTGGCTGCTACCTCCATGATAAAAGTCTGCATAATATGGGGAAAGGTAAACCCTTGATGTCTCAAACTCTGTAGGATGTGGCTTTCATAGTGCAGAGAACAGCTATTTTCTCCTCTCTACTATATCTTTCCTTCTTTTTAAAATTCTTGCCTCTGAGAGGTGCCCCCTTACTATATGTCTCCACACTGCTTTCTGGGCCAGTATGGTCAGAACTGTTTCTCCAATGAGATCATGATGGTTTTCTACAAAGGCTTCTTGTGCACTTGGACATAGCTTGAGTTTCAAACATGCTACTGCTTAGGTGTGACTTTGGATTGGCAATGAGAATAATGATTTGCCTCTGTGAGGGGCAGAGTGGGTGCGAGAATTTGTTGAGAAGAGACATTCTTCATTTCTGCTTGGAAAAAGAGACCGATCTCATCCAAGGAGAAATCCCCCAAAGTCTCTACAGAGGCAAGATGGAAATCTAAGGATATGTTGCAGGCTCCCTGCCACTACCCTTTGCCTTCCAAAGTCTTTCTTCTCTCTCCGTGAGTCTCTCAAGAAACTCTAGAACTGAAGTGTCTCTGTTTTGGAGAAGGAATGAAGAATGTCTGTTATTTCTAAAGCTCCACTACCTCAGGTAGGAACAAAGGAGGTCATTAGTCTCCCTACCAGTCTGTGATCACACTTATGCGGCAATGTGCAAAAAACCCCAAAAACAAAAAACGAAAAACAAAAAAACAGCCCTTTTGGAAACCTGGGTTCCATAAACAGTTAGCAAGTACTCACACTATATTCAATGCTACCTCATTATAGGCACTAAATACTTTTTGATTGATTGATAGAAAGATGAATTAGATGTGATATGGAAGTCAATTTCAATTCTGCCAATCTACGTTTGACTGTGGTTAGAGTTGTAACTAGAATGAGGTGACTGATACTTTGCCCCAGGGCACCAGTCAATCAACCAATAAATATTTATCAAGTACCTACTATGTGCCCTTCACCTTGCTACCACAATATAGAAGGCACTGTCAGTATTTACATTCCCTCAGCAGTATACTGTGCCATAGATTAGCTCCCCCATTCTGGCCTTGTTGTGTTCCAACATTTCTGTCTCCCCTTCCAACTCAATTTGTCTTAGAAAGTACACTGGAAGGCACTTTTCATATCGCTTGCCCTCAGAATCCCTGATTTATGTCTCATTGAATTTGCCTTGGGCACTAAAAAAAAGATATAATTTACAGCTGATTGTGGCTGACCCCAGAATAGAAAAAAAAGGAATCCATTTCTATCAAGAAATACTGGTCAGGATGAATTAGGGGTTAACAGGCTTGGCTGTGATCTTGCAGCTGCTCACAAGGTGGCGCCCGAGGGACATATTCATTTGGCAATTTCTGTTGAGACTAGCCCCTTTCATGCTTAGAATTTACTCAGTCTTTGAAAAAAACTGGTGAATTAGAAGCATTTAACTACAGTTTTATTCTTTTTTCCAGAACCCCAAACACTCACACACATGCACACAAGGTTCTTCATCTCCAAGGTTAGGTTCTTCTTTGACTTGAGACACATTTCACATAAATTTTCCAATTAATAAAATGATCTTTGTAGCAAACGTGATTTGCTATCTCCTCCTATTAGAGTATTTTGAGCTATAGAAATAATAATGATATAATAATAGCTAACATTTATATAGCTCTTTAAGGTTTACAAAGTGCCTTATAGATATTGTCTCATTTGATCCTCACAACCACCCTGAGAGGCTAATGGAATATGATTTTGTGCAATTAACAAAACTACTACAAGAAAATGAAACCTTTTTTGGTTTGATACACACACACACACACACACACACACACACACACACACACACACACACATGCACACGTAGATTATGACCACCATTTTATAGATGAGGAAACTGAGGCAGATAGAAATTAAGTGATTTATTTGCTTATTTGTTTTTAATTTTTTTCAATTTTTAGGCAATTGAGGTTAAGTGACTTGCCCAGGGTCACATAGCTAGTAAGTGTCAAGTGTTTGGTCTGAGGCCGGATTTGAACTCAGGTCCTCCTGACTTCGGGGCCAGTGCTCTTTTTGCTGTGCCACCTAGCTGTCCTGAAGTTAAGTGATTTAACCACACAGCTAGAAAGGCCAGATTTGAACTCGGGTCTCCCCAACTTAATGCCTCATGTGTTACACCATCTATGGTATTTCCCTATTGTATTTCCACTGCCTATATTTGTTGTCGAGTCATTTTTCAGTTGTGTTCAATTCTTCATGACTCCTTTTGGGCTTTCCTGGCAAAGATACTGGAATGGTTTGCCATTTGCAGATGAGGAAACTGAGGCAAACAGAGTTAAGTGACTTGCCCAGGATCACTTAACTAATTAGTGTCTGAGACCACATTTGAACTCACCAGGCCTGGTGCTCTATGCACTCTGGTGCCATCTAGAGGCCCCTGAGTCTTTAGCCCTCCAGATTCTCCATGTATTATTTTTCTCCGTTCTCTATGACTACAAACCAGAAGAGTCTGAGAACCTCAGAAATGGCAGCACCTTAGAGGCCAACTGGTCCAACCCAGATCTAATCAAGAATTCCCTCTCTAATTTCATTCAGCCTTCACCCCAAACCCTCCAGGGAAGAGGAGCCCTCTCCTCCTGAACTCTACTGGCTAGGAAGGTTTTCACCCATACCAGACCCAAATCTGCCTCTGTGTAACTCATCCTATACTCCTTGTTCTTTCCTTTGGGGCCAAGCAGAGCAAGGCTAATATTTCTTCTATTTGACAGTCCTTCACTATTTGAAGACAATGACCACATCCCCACCTGAACCTTCTCTTCTCCCTGACTAAATATCCCCTGCGGCCTCTCTGATCTAGGAGGCAGACCTCAGTGAAAAACATACGTGTTAGGAAAAACCCTGAACATACTAAAAGGCAATGATGAATTTGAGTGTAGAGTTCTTTTGTCCCCTTTGCGGACAAAATAAAACAATTCAAACATTTGTGCAGGGTGATCTCTCGGGGTTGTTGTGAGAATCAAATGAGACAATAATTGTAAGGGAAGCTAGGGGGGCACAGTGGGTAGAGCTCAGGCCTGGAGTAAGGAAAACCTAAGTTCAAATCTGGCCTCAGACACTTACTAGCTGGGTGACCCTGGGCCTCAGTTTCCTCATCTATAAAATGAGCTGGAGAAGGAAATAGCAAACAACTCCAGTATTTTTGCCAAGAAAACTTCAAATGGGATCATGAAGAGTCAGACATGACTGAAAAACAATTGAACAACTACATAAAATGCTTATTAAATACTAGATAAGGCCCTGGGTGGTGCTGTAAATACAAATGCAGCCTAGACCCCCTCAGCCACATGGGCCCCTGAAAACAACACCAAGTTTCATGGTTCTCACCAGTTTACCAAACATTTATTAATCACCTGCTATGTTCAAGTCACTAGACTAGAGGCTGGAGATAGAAAGAAAAAGTAAAAATGATTCCCACCTTCAAGGAACTTATAATCTAC